AAAAAAAAAAATCCTTACAATTCTGTCCAAAGATTTCAATCTAGCAATGTTCTGTGCTGTATTCATTTGATCTAATTTAATTTGGTATTGTTCATTACATTTTAAATGGAGCAATTTGTCTATTTTTTATAAGCGCAGTACATAATCTCTTTCCCTTATTGATCACTGTGTCATTGCACTCTGCACTGACAGCTTTGATTGGATAGTGAGTGGCACAGTTGTTTGTTTTGCTCCAGTCAAAAAGGTTTGTTTGCATTAAATGTTAGAAATCAAGCTCCTGCTGTCTCTAGTAGTTGGTCCAATATCATTTTTTTTTTTAAAAAGTGGATTTATCGTTAGCTTACCAATTTCATTTTCGTTATGGAGTAGGCACTCTGAATCGGCACAATTTGTTGTGCGGCCAGTAAAAACATTAAGAACATAATAGTTAACCGCAGTCCAAGCCTTGCATCAAACCTGACATAAATATTTGAAGTCTTTTATTCCAACATTTTATGTTGCTTCATAAAATAGCATAGAAATATTGAATTGATAAATACAGCATGTGTTGAGGAACTGTATCACTGCTTAGAGACATTTAAGTTTTTTCAGAGTATTACTGCTTCCCTGACCATTTAAAGGAATAGTTCACTCAAAAATGAAAATTTGCTTAATATTTACTCACCCTCAGGCTATCACTTCTAGCCAAAATACCATGATCTATAATAATGCTTCCTCCATTGTTTAGAACTTAACTGTTTTTGCTTGTAAATGGTGCTTAAAGTGTGTGTATCTCTCCTGATTCAGTCGAGACAACGTTTTTACTGGAGAAAGCTATATTATGGGTAGATGACTCATATTTTAGCTGGAAGCAATGGTTTGAAGTTAAAAACCTCTTATTGACTGATGGATTTCTTATAGTCTTTTTGCTTCGGAAGACTGATGAACTGGATGTTTGTAATGGCAAATGTTACTTTTTATTTCAATGACTTGAGGACATATACAACAAGATAATCCTTCCATCATTACAAATATTTTTTGGTGCACCCAACGGGTCAAGTCAACGCTAACCAAATAAACTGATGCAGTAATAATTCAATAATATAGCAGCAGAGGGTCAAACTAAATGGCTGGTGTAGTGCGATGCAGTGCTTTTGTGCCTATTTAAATCTCATTTAAGCTGCCAAGCTGATGATTGTTCTCATTTTAATTTTACACTATATTACAGCGTAATATTAGGTGATCTACAGACAGAGAATGATTTTACACCAACCTTTACAGATCAAGCACCTTTACAATCATCAAGATCACTAATTATAATAAAGAAGACATATGACTAGAAATAAATATACACCGACTGTAAGGAACAAATGATAATGGCTGAAATTGTGACACTCAGTGTTATAAGAAAAGAACCTTTAGCTTTTGCATATGAAACAGGAATTGCATGTTGTGCTTTACTCAATGGGGGGGGGGGATCACAAGAAGGTTAAACTGAAAATGAAAAGTCAAAATTGTCATGTTTTGTCCACAAAACACTAGATACACTAGATGTAATTACAAAGGTATTTAACATAGTCAAAATACATAAAGATGTGTATTTAAAATGATTTCATAAAAATGTTAGAAAAAAATGAACTGGTTTAGCTGGTTTAGTGTCATCATAGTGAC